GAAGGACGCCTCGCCGTGAGTTTGTGTCCTGACTTTAGGGATGATCAGGAGACGCCTGCCAGAGGAGCGCAGAGGCCGCGAGGGTTCATATTGTAAAAGCTGTTCTGAGAGATAAGAAGGCCCAAGACCGTTAAGACACTTAAAAACCATTAGAAGAACCTTAAAATTGATCCTGAAACATACGGGGAGCCAATGCAATGATTCTAAAACCGGTGTCATGTTGTCATCATCACCCAGTTACCCATCACATTTAGTGAAGTGGACCCAAGCTTTAGCGTGCGTTCTTTCTACCATGCTGCTCTGTTTACAACTCGCTCGCAGCGACCGATGACTTAATGCTTTTGCGCATGCGCAGCTGTCTAGGCAAGTTCTTGTTGTGAAGGACGGGTACCGAAACGAGGCACCGTTTCAAATGAAGTGAATCGGTGCTCAGTCAGTACTATGGAATTCGGTCGGTACCTTAAAAAGTACCGAATTCGGTACCCATCCCTACCCAAGCCGAGTCCTTGTTTCAGGGAAATCCATTTGAATCCGGATGTAAGGGGGGCCTGGGAACACTCCCACACCCCAGTCAGACTTTGTTAAAAGCCATAAACAATAAGGTTAACATGAAACATTGTATTGACATAAAACACCTGGTTAAAACTTATGCTAAAAGTTTCACCAAAACAGAAGGTGTTTAAAACCCAAGTCAATAAAATTGTATCAAACCAAGTTAACCTTAAACAAAGAGGGAAATTGTTAAGTAAAAACTGATATTATTATTATTGAATTGATATTAATGTCTTGACTGCTAAAACATCTGGTGCCTTATTAACAATGTTTAAACACAGCTTCATCCTGTTGATGGTCTCCTCCAGTCCCCACAGGAAGGACTGATCTTGCCCTCTGGTTTATCAGTAACACTCCCATGAGAGAAGTCTAGAAACTGCTTTGTTGATTTAGTGTATGCACCTGGAGCTGCGACTCCCTTCGCTAGCAACATCCAGCCTGAAGGTCTACGTAATAGTTTAAGGAATGTGATTTGTGTGTGTGTCTTCAACATTGTGTGTGTTTTCAATAAATGCTGTTGGAGGGCTTCGGTGTGAGGAGAGCGATCTGAATTCATGCTTGGTGTGTATTGATTTTCCTCTCCACTTTGCAAAGTCTAAATTGATCGTTTATAATTGGTATTGGTAGTGAGTGATTGATTACTATAACCCCCTGTTCATTAAACTTTATCTAAGGTAATCCTGGATTGATAAAATTACCTAACAGAAATACCCTCACCAAGACTGTTAAATCAGTCTGCAAAGATCCGTGGGGATCATCTCAGAGTTTTAGCTTTAAAAACTCATCAATCTCAGTTTAAACCATTACAGTTAAAATTTGTCACAAAACACAATGGGTTTAAAGCAAAGCAAGGCCTGGAGGAGTTTTCTTTCTTTCTTTCTCTTTGTTTCTTTCTCTCTTTCTCTCTTTCTTTCTTTCTTTCTTTCTTTCTTTCTCTATCTTTCTTTCTCTCTTTCTTTCTTTCTTTCTTTGTTTCTTTATTTGTTTCTTTCTTTCTCTCTTTCTCTCTTTCTTTCTTTCTTTCTTTCTTTCTTTCTTTCTTTCTTTCTTTCTTTCTTTCTTTATCTCTCTTTCTTTCTTTCTCTTTCTTTCTTTCTCTCTTTCTTTCTCTCTTTCTTTCTTTCTTTCTCTCTTTCTTTCTTTCTTTCTTTCTTTCTTTCTTTGTTTCTCTCTTTCTTTCTTTCTTTCTTTGTTTCTTTCTTTGTTTCTTTCTTTCTTTCTCATTCTCTCTCTCTTTCTTTCTTCGATTGGTTCATTACAGAGATCCTTCCTCAAAGGCATAGACAGAAGAGTATACGCCACGCCGATTGCTTCTGTGTATCATAGTTGCATTTTTGTGGTCTACTTTTATAAACTGTATGGTTAACAGGATGTTTTAGCTAAGGCTTTAGTTCTGTGGAGATCTGGAGCTCTCAAACTGTGGTAGAGTGCCGTTCATAAACCTGTTCACACGCCAGAATGAGAGCTCACTTTATTATTCATCAGGCAAAAATGAGTGCAAGTTTGGTTTATATTCACACACACAAAGAAAAAACCCCAATAAGTTCACGAATGATCGTTCAATGAACATGTTCAAGTACATGACCACCGTGTTGTATTTATAAACTTTTCCCTTCTCAGACGTACCTTGGTTTGGTGCAGGTTCTGTTTTTGTTTCCTTTTGTTCGTTTGTTTTTTGTTCTGTTAAACCTTTAAGATAGGACTGCTGCTATTGGATATTTTATTGAACCTTCTGATTAATTGAATATTCCATTTGACAATATCTCAAGTGAAACGAGACCGTGGTCTGCTGCTAAAAATATGAAATAAAACAACAAAATTATGAGGCTGAAATGTCAGTCTCTTGTTATAAAAGGCACAATAGGTAGCCTAAGTCTCCTCCTTTTCTGGTGAGCTCATGGGTCCCCATAAGAACAACAAAAAAGAAAGCAAGTCAGTGGGGCTAATAGTTATTTTCTAACCCTCTTTCCCTAGCGCCCTGGATCACACATATGGTGTGTATTTGATATAGCGCCTTCTAGAGTCCTGGAACCCCCCAAGGCGCTTTACAACACAATCAGTCATTCACCCATTCACACACACATTCACACACTAGTGGGGATGAGCTATGATGTAGCCACAGCTGCCCTGGGGCGCACTGACTGAGGCGAGGCTGCCGAGCACAGGCGCCACCGGTCCCTCTGACCACCACCAGCAGGCAACGTGGGTTAAGTGTCTTGCCCAAGGGCACAACGACAGCGACAGACTGAGTGGGACTCGAACCTGCAACCTTCCGATTACGGGGCGAGCATTTAACACCCCATATGTTGAAAAGTAATGTTTCGACCACGCCAGTGACATACTTTGAGATTTATCAGCTTGTAAAAGTTTAATGTTAGTATGACTACAACTACTTAGGTTCCTATAATATTTATTAAATAAGTGTTGTGTAGTTCCTACTTTCCCATGTGATATTTATAGTTAGATATTTTATGAAACAAAGAACTACATTTCAGTAACATTTTAGGTTTGTATTAATAACAATTATCTTAATCAAAAGAACATATAAATTGGACTGGCAGACTGGAGCGGTGGTCCCCTTATTTAAAAGGGGGGACCGTAGGGCGTGTTCCAACTACAGTGGGATCACACTCCTGAGCCTTCCTGGTAAGGTCTATTCAGGGGTTTTGGAGGGGAGGGTCCGTCGGATTGTCGAACCTCAGATTCAAGAGGAGCAATGTGGTTTTCGTCCTGGCCGTGGAACACTGGACCAGCTTTATACCCTTAGGGGGATCTTGAAAGGCCCGTGGGAATTCCCCCAACCAATCTACATGTGTTTTGTGGATTTAGAGAAGGTTGTTAACCGCGTCCACCCGGCGGGTCCTGTGGGGGTCCTCTGGGAGTATGGAGTACCAGGCGTTTTGGTGGCCTAAGGATCAGGTTTCTGCTCTTTGCACATGGTGTGGTCCTGTTGGCTTAATTAGACAGTTTTCTCCAGTTTTCGCTGGAGGAGTTCACAGCTGAGTGGGAAGCAGCTGGAATGAGAATCAGCTCCTTTAAATCCGAGATCATGGTCGCATATCGAAAAAGGGTAGAATGCCTTCTCCAAGTCAGGGATGAGGTCCTGCCTCAAGTGGAGGAGTTAAAGTATCTTGGCGTCTTGTTCATGAGTGAGGGACAAATGGAGCGTGAGATCGATTGGTGGATTGGTGCTGCCTCTGCAGTGATGCAGACTCTGGAACTCTCTCCCCCAAAGCCTGAGATCAGTGGACTCAGTGGTCTCCTTTAAAAAGCAGCTATAAACTCACTTTTCCAAGCTAGCTCTTTGCTTGACCTTCATCACCACCCTCTCCTTATTCTGCTCTTACAACGCCTTTCCCAGGATCCACTGATTTCCTTCTCTCCTATTCATTTTCTCTCTCCCTTTCCTTACATATTTTTATAACAATTTTAATTTTTTCTCATTTTAAACATATGTTTAGCTCATTCACTGCCAGCCGTTTCCTGATTGCTAAAGCCCTTCGCTGCCAGCATTTCTCGCCGTTTTTACTGTTTTTTAAGAGTCACAGAACGTTGCGCGTTAGGATGATGTCGACGCCAGAACAACCAAAACAAAGCGGAGACTCGACTCTTACATCGGGAAGAATCCGCACGTTTTGAGCATTATCCGTTCTTTCATAATCCGTTGTTGAATTATGATCGGCAGAAGCTTTTTCGGTTCGCGCCTCACTTTTTTTACAGCAGCGGCCCAAAACGATCTCCTAACACATGGTTTTTCTGCTTCCTGATCACGTGACGTGTGACGTACGCGGATAAAGATCGGCTTTAGAGTTGAGATGTTTGTTCTCACGGTGCGGGGGCTCGTTCCGATGCCCACACAGTAAAACATGCAAATGATGACTTTAGTCGTCATTGGCAGTGAACGGTTGGATTTAAAATGACGACTTAAGTCGTCAATGACGTGAATGAGTTAATCATTTTTTGAAATCTTTTTTGTACTTTAATTTTTATTTTGATTTTGTGAAGCACCTCGAGATTTTTGTCTTGAGAGGCACTAAATAAAATATTGTTTTCTTTTTTTCTTTCTAACCAGCTAATTAGCCTAGTGGTAGAGCGTTTGCCATGGGACTGGGAGATCGAGGTTTGATTCCCGGTTGGGTCATACCAAAGACTTTAATAAAATGGGACCCAATCCCTCCCTGCTTGACATTCAGCTTTAAGGGGTTGGATTGAGGGGTTAAACCACCAAATATTTCTCGAGCACAGCCACTGCCAGCTCTCCGCTCCCCTCCATGGGGATGCATTTCACCAGTATGTGATGATGAGTATGGAACTTAAACTAAGTATGGTCGGTAAATGAGTCCCCTGGTGTTTTCCTGAACAATGCTTTTTTTTCTGACCATGATTCAGTAAAGCGAACATGCTGTGAATTTCTGATAACTGAGCAATGTTTTTTTGGTGGGTTTCAGGTAGAGGTGGAGGTCTACAGGAGGGACTCTAAAAAGCTGCCAGGTCTTGGTGACCCAGACATTGACTGGGAGGAGAGTGTCTACCTGAACCTGATCCTACAGAAGGTAAAGACCTACAACTGATTTCAGATTGGATTGGAACTTGGTCTTAGTTAGGAATATATTCCCCAGTACCAGCATTGGTTATTGGCGGAGGTGGAAAGAGTACTACAGTTTTCTACTTAAGTACGAGTACCAAAACTTTGATTATTTTTACTCAAGTATAAGTAATGCACTTGCCTAAATTTTTACTCAACAGTAAAAAGTACCGTAAATAAAATGTACTCAGTGTAAAAGTTACTTAGTAACATTTTTGTCAGCGTAAAGATGGCTAGATCCAAGTAGTGCAAAATACCAATGCTGCCAGCTCACAACACACTCACACACACATACACACACACACACACGCACGCAGCAACACACAGCTGCATTGTAGAATTATTCAAATGACTAATTTAAATACACTGAACAGCTTTTGTAATAATTTAATCTCTTATTCTTGAGTTCAATAAAGAAACAGGCTAAATCAGGGGTGTCAAACTCAAACTCACACGGGGCTGAAATGAAACTCTGGGACGAAGTCGAGGGCCAAACTTAATATTTTTGGAAAAAGTGACGGAAAATTTGCACATTTTCTTTATCAACATGTATGCAATTTTGAACCTTTTAATGAGGAAACAAACATATTTCTGCATTAACACTGAATGTGGAATAACCAAATTACACACAAGCAAGTCAGTTTTAAATAAAAGGCATCAGTGGTATTCATTACTTGTGGTATAATCAGCATTTTATAAATCTATTCAGGATTTATGTTTTCTTGATTATTAATTTTTCTTATTTTTTATTCTCCTTTTTCTCCTGTAATACGTGTCATCGCTGCTGTGACGTCTAGCTTTCCCCACTGAGGAACAATAAAGGGATTTTCTATTCTATTCATCTATCTGCAGCCTTTCCACTTCCTGTTTACTGTAGGTTAAATCTTTTCTCACGGGCCAACAACAAAATAAAATATCATTTTATCTTAAATGAAAATGCAACATCTCACCTGTTAACTTTCATGTTTTGGAGCAGAAAAAGAGCATCAAACCAACATATTTAAAGCTCAGTTTGCTCCACTGGTTTACTGTGATGCTCACCTGTTCCAGCCAGATACCTGCATCATGGGGTTGATCTGAGCTGAGGAGGAGACTCCTGTTGTTTTGTTCATCTTCATCATAATAATGACAACATTAGATGACAACAGGTGCTCACATAGGTTTGTGCTGATGAACATGTCTGAGCAGCTTGACCACGTCGTTGTGTGTCGGGGAGGAAACACGACAGCAACCACAGAAGAAGGAAGAGCCAACAAGAGAACTGACATGAGAAGAAGAAAATATCATTTCTATTGCGCCTCTCAAGATAAAAATCCCGAGGCGTGTCACAAAAACAAAAAATGTAAAAATATAAAAAAGCATTTAGGAAATGTTTAAAAATATGTTTAAAATGAGCAAAAATAGACAATTGTGATTAAAAAAATGTAAAGAAAGAGAGAGAGAGTGAACAGGAAAGAGGGAAACCAGTGGATCCTGAGGAAGGTGGAATAGGTGGGGAGAGCAGAATAAAGAGAGAGAGGTGAAGAAGGTCATACAAAAGCCAGCTTGAACAAGTGAGTCTTCAGCTGCTTTTTGAAGGAGACCACTGAGTCCACTGATCTCAGGCTCGGGGGAGAGAGGTCCAGAGTCTGGGGGCCACAGCAGCAGATGATCTGTCACCTTTGGTCTTTAGCCTGGGTGAGAGCTGGGTCAAAGGTCACGCCAAGATTCCTGACAGAAGGTTTGGTGTGGGAAGCAAGCTGACCAAGAGAGTCTCTGACTTTGGGAACCAGCTTGTCTGGGGCACAGATGAGGATCATAAAAGAGAAAATGGAGTCATGTGACCAAAATGGCTGACTTCCTGTGCGATATAGAGCATGTCTTCAAGAAAAATTTTTGCAGGTCCTGAGACACTTAATAAGTTTACCAAATTTCATAATCCTCAGTGAAAGCATGGCTTGGGGCTGACAGTTTTAATGGTTCTAGAGGGCACTATTTAAAAATAGGCCACGCCAACCGGATTTTGTCATAAGGTTTTTTTGGGGAACTGGTCACATTTAAACTTGACCATTTTGGTCATGAGGGGGCGGGGCTTGTGTGATGTCATTATCCAACCATTAATTTTTCTTTGGGGGTGGATGATGAATAACCACAGAATATTTTGTAACTCTGTTCCTGTCGGTTATGAAATTATAGTCATTTATATATTTTTTAGGGAGTAGTCGAATTTCGAGGCCTGGCCCCTCAACATATACGAAAACTCAAAATCTTAATCTCCTTTTGATCACCCATCCCTTCTGAGCAACTGCAGATACTTTCTGAGATGATCATGCGAAAAATGACCTAGTAATTCCATCAAAGGCAGACCCTTAAAACTACCAAAACGAGGTAAAAATGGCGTTTTCTATCCAATATGGCCGACTTCTTGCTGATTTGACAACATGTGTGCTAGAGACTTTTTTTTTGTGTGGCTTGATATATTCCACTAGCGTAGGGGAAATTTCAGATTTTAGGGAGCGGTGTTGAGTCATTCCTTTTGTAATTTTTCCAAGTCCTTAAATATACAAAAATTTACACTGGGATCAATGCTTTGGCCAAATGTGGTGACTTTTTGAATATGTTAAGGGCTCCAAAAAGGCAATTAATTTGCAGGAAGAATAATAAACATTTGAAAAACGAGGCATTCGCAGCACTTTGGCTGCTCGAGCTTAAATATTATATCCTGTCAGGCAGGCCAGAAAAGTCACTAGTAATCCCACGTGATCAGTTTTCAATAGTACGCAACCATAGGCAGCGCAGAAACTGGCATAGTTGCTCACTCTGCATTTACTTTTGAGAGTGAGGAGACCCTCCAATATGGCGGCAACATATTCATGTCTATGGATGTCACAATAAGGGACATTTTGAAGCTGTTCATTGAAGCAAAGAAATCTTGTCACCTAAATCTGACAGAAAATTGATGGAAGGTTTTTATTCATGTTTGTTGATAAAGACAGTAAATACCCATATGGATGCACAAACTTAGTTTTTAACTCAGTTTTTAACTCTCTGACAACTCTGTTTGAAATTGAATTGTCTACAATCACGTCCTTCCTAATCTGAGAACTGTGTTGATCTCCAGCTGGACTACGTGGTGACATGTGCTGTCTGCACTCGCTCAGATGCAGGAGACATCCACATTCACAAGAAAAAATGTCAGGTAGGAAATGGTAAATGGTTCTTCAAAATATATCCAGTCATTTACCCATACACACATACATTTAATTGAATTCAAGTTTATTTATAAAGCTCCAAATCACGACAAGAGTCGTCTCAAGGACCTTCACACAGTAAACATTCCAATGCAGGTCAGGTCATTAAGCCAATCAGTAAAAAGTTTCCTATATAAGGAACCCAGCAGGTCGCATCGAGTCACTGACTAGTGTCAGAGTCTTTACAGCAATCCTCATACTAAGCAAGCATGCAGCGACAGTGGAGAGGAAAACTCCCTTTTAACAGGAAGAAACCTCCAGAGAATCCTGGCTCAGTATAAGCAGCCATCCTCCATGACTCACTGGGGATGGAGAAGACAGAGCAGACACACACACACACACACACACACACACACACACACACACACACACACACACACACACACACACACACACACACACACACACACACACACACACACACACACACATACACATACACATACACACACACACACGCACACACACACACACACACACACACACACACACACACACACACACACACACACACACACACCAAGTAGTGTTTCTATGGTTACATTGTGATGTCTTAGTAAATATTGTATTTAGTGAGAGATAAACTTTATTGTATTTATCCTAGTGGATCTATAATTAAATGGGTAAACTAGTAGTAGCACATCCAATGTCAAAGAGAGTCAAATGTTATTATCAGGAGAGAGAGAATTTTTAAGTGGTTAGCAGCAGTGTGCTAGACGTTGGCCCCCTCCATGAGGCCACCACAGCTCAGCAGAACATCGTTGTAGCTTCTTCTGGGGAGAAAAACACTTAGAGAGAAAATAAAGTTAACAGCTGAAATAGCAGGAAATAATACAGTTAAAGAGCAGACTGTAGAAGAAAGCAATAGATTGTGAAAAGTGGTCAGTGTGTCCTCCAGCAGTCTAAGCCTATAGCAGCATAACTACAGAGATAACTCTGGATAATCTATCCTATTTAGATGGAGGCATGTTGGAGTCAGGGCAAGGGAGAGCCGTCTTTACCGACTGTACACTCCACCTCCCTCTACTCCCCCACTTGGCCAGATCTAGGCTAACATCAGATTTTAACCATAGAACCTCCATCCAACCATCCATCCATCCATTTGCATCCTCTTATCCAGAGTTGGGTCGTGGGGGCAGCAGCCTAAGGCGAGAGGCCCAGTCTTCCCTCTCCCCAGCCACTTGGGCCAGCTCCTCCGGGGGAGTCCCAAGGCGTTCCCTGGCCAGGTGAGAGACATCGTCCCTCCACCGTGTCCTGGTTCTTCCTTTAGATCTCCTCCCGGTTGGATGTGCCCGGAAAACCTCACCAGGGAGGCGTCCAGGAGGCATCCTGACCAGAAGCCCGAGCCACCTCATCTGGCTCCTCTCGATGTGGAGGAGCAGCGGGTCTACTCCGAGCCCCTCCCGAATGACCGAGCTTCTCACCCTATCTCTAAGGGAGAGCCCAGCCACTCTTAGGAGAAAACTCTTTTTGGCCGCTTGTATCCATGATCTCGTTCTTTCGGTCACTACCCAAAGCTCATGACCATAGGTGATGGTAGGAACGTAGCTCGATCGGTAAATCGAGAGCTTCGCCTTCTGATTCAGCTCTCTCTTCACCACGACAGACCGGTACAACGCCCGCATCACTGCAGATGCAGCACCAATCCACCTATCGATCTCACGCTCCTGCTTTCCCTCACTCGTGAACAATACCCCAAGATATTTAAACTCCCCCACTTGGGGCAGGACCTCATCCCTGACCCGGAGAAGGCATTCTACCCTTTTCCAAATCAAGACCATGGTCTCAGATTTAGAGGAGCTGATTCTCATCCCAGCTACTTCACACTCGGCTGCGAACCGCTTCAACGAAAGCTGAAGATCACGTTCTGATGAAGCCAACAGGACCACATCGTCTGCAAAAAGCAGAGACCTGATCCTCAGGCCACCAAAATGGATGCCCTCCACACCTTGGCTGCACCTAGAAATCCTGTCCATAAAGGTTAAGAACAGAATCGGTGACAAAGGGCAGCCTTGGCGGAGTCCAACTCTCACTGGGAATGAGCCCAGCTTACTGCCGGCAATGCGGACCAAGCTCTGACACCGGTCATACAGGGACCTAACAGCCCGTATCAGAGGGTCTAGTACCCCATACTCCCGGAGTACCCCCCCCCCCCCCCCCCCCCCAGGGCCCCCCAAGGGACGCGGTCAAATGCCTTCTCCAAATCCACAAAACACATGTAGACTGGTTGGGCAAATTCCTACGCACCCTCCAGGATCCCCCTAAGGGTATAGAGCTGGTCCAGTGTTCCACGTCCAGGACAAAAACCTCATTGCTCCTCCTGAATCTGAGGTTCAACAATCTGATGGACCCTCATCTTCCAGAACCCCTCAATAGACCTTACCAGGAAGGCTCAGGAGTGTGATCCCCCTGTAGTTGGAACACACCTTGCGGCCCGCCTTTTTAAATAAGGGGACCACCACCCCAGTCTGCCAGCCCAGTGTGACTGCCCCCGATGTCCACACGATATTGCAGAGCCGCGTCAGCCAAGGCAGCCCCACAACATGCAGAGCCTTAAGGAACTCTGGGCGGATCTCATCCACCCCCGGAGCCTTGCCACAGAGGAGCTTTTTAACCACCTCAGTGACCTCAGCTCCAGAGTTTTGAGAGGCCAACCCAAAATCCCCAGACTCTGCTTCCTCACTGGAAGATGTGTTTGTGCGATTGAGGAGGTCTTCGAAGTATTCTGCCCACCGATCCACAAAGTCCTGAGTAGAGATCAGCAGCACACCGTCCCCACTATAAATAGTGTTGGTAGTGCACTGCTTTCCCCCCGAGGCGTCGGATGATGGACCAGAATCTCCTCGAAGCCGTACGGAAGTCTTGCTTTATGGTCTCACCAAACTCCTCCCATCCCTGGGTTTTTACCTTGGTGACCACCGGAGCCGCATTCCTCTTGGACTGCCGGTACCCATCAGCTGCCTCTAGAGTCCCACAGGCCCAAAAGACCCGATAGGACTCTTTCTTCAGCTTGACAGCATCCCTAACCGCCGGTGTCTACCAGTGGGTTCTGGGGTTGCCACCACGACAGGCACTGACGATCCTGCGACCACAGCTCCGGTCGGCCGCCTCAACAATGGAGGCACAGAACAGGGTCCATTCAGACTCAGTGTCCACCGCCTCCCCCGGGTCATTTTGGAAGTTCTGTCGGAGGTGGGAATTGAAGCTCCTTCTGACAGGAGACTCTGCCAGACGTTCCCAGCAAACCCTCGCGATACGTTTGGGCCTGCCTGGTCTGACCGGCATCCTCCCCAGCATCTGAGCCAACTCACCACCAGGTAGTGGTCAATTGACAGTTCCGCCCCTCTCTTCACCCGTGTGTCCAAGACATGCGGCCGCAGGTCAAATGAAACAACAACAAAGTCGATCATCGAGCTGAGGCCTAAGGTATCCTGGTGCCAAGAGCACATATGGACACCTTTATGTCTGAACATGGTGTTCATTATGGACAATCCATGACTGGCACAGAAGTCCAATAACAAAACACCACTCAAATTCAGATCAGGGGGGCCATTCCTCCCAACCACACCTCTCCAGGTCTCACTGTCGTTGCCCACGTGAGCTTCAAAGTCCCCCAGCAGAACGAGGGAGTCACCAGAAGGAGCGCTTTCCAGCACCCCCTCGAAGGTCTCCAAAAAGGGTGGATATTCTGAACTGTAGTTTGGTGCATAAGCACAGACCACAGACAGAACCCGTCTCCCCACATGTAGGCGGAGGGAAGCTACCCTCTCATTCACTGGGGTAAACCCCAACATACAGGCAACATGATGGGGGCAACTAGTATAACCACCCCTGCTCGGCGCCTCTCAGTGGGAGCAACTCCAGAGTGGTAGAAAGTCCAATCTCTCTCAAGGAAACTGGTTCCAGAGCCAGAGCCATTTATTGAGGTGAGTCCGGCTATATCTAGTTGGAACCTCTCAACCTCACACACCAACTCAGGCTCCTTCCCCACCAGAGAGGTGACATTCCATGTACCAAGAGCCAACTTCTGTAGCCAAGGATCAGACCGCCAAGGTCCCCGCCTTCGACTGCCACCCATCACACACTGCACCCGACCCCTTTGGCCCCTCCCACGAGTGGTGAGCCCATGGGAAGGGGGACCCACATTTCCTCTTCGGGCTGTGCCCGGCCAGGCTCTATGGGTGAAAACCCGGCCACCAGGTACTTGCCAGCCTGCCCAACCTCCAGACCTGGCTCCAGAGGGGGGCCCCGGTGACCCACCTCTGGGCGAGGGAACACGGTTTCCATTTAAATAATTCATTATAAGAGGTCTTCGGGCTGTTCTTTGTCTGATCCCTCACCTAGGACCTGTTTGCCATGGGTGACCCTACCAGAGGCAGAAAGCCTCAGACAACTAAGCTCCTAGGATCATTGACGCACTCAAACCCCTCCACCATGGTAAGGTGGCAGCCCTATCAAATAAAATGTTTTAAGCCTAATCTTAAAAGTAGACAAGACCACTTGTCCATATCTGGGCTAACATCAGATTTTAACCATAGGCCTTATCAAATAAAAATGTTTTGAACCTAGTCTTAAAAGTAGACAAGGTGTCTGCCTCACGGACTAAAGCTGGGAGCTGGTTCCACAGGAGAGGAGCCTGATAACTAAAAGATCTGCCTCCCATCCTAATTTTAGATATTCTGGGAACCACCAGTAGACCTGCAGTCTGAGAGCGAAGTGCTCGGTTAGGAACATATGGAACAATCAGATTACTGATGTATGATGGAGCTTGATTATTAAGAGCTTTATATGTGAGAAGAAGGATCTTAAAATCTATTCTGAATTTAACAGGTAGCCAATGTAGCGAAGCTAAGACAGGAGAGATATGATCTCTCTTTTTAATTCTCATCAGAACTCTAGCTGCAGCATTTTGGACAAGCTGAAGACTTTTAACTACATTCTGTGAACTTTCTGAGAGTAATGAATTACAGTAATCCAGTCTTGATGTAATAAATGCATGAACTAGATTTTCAGCATCACTCCTGGAAAGGATGCTTTTAATCTTAGCAATATTCCTAAGGTGGAAAAAGGAAATCCTACAAACCTGTTTAACCTGGGATTTGAACATTATATCCTGGTCAAAGATAACACCAAGGTTCCACCAAGGCGACGGTGGCAGAGGAGTTAAGTGCTCGCTCCGTAATCGGAAGGTTGCAGGTTCGAGCCCCGCTCCGTCTGCCGCTGTCGTTGTGTCCTTGGGCTAGACACTCAACCCCCCTTGCCTGCTGGTGGTGGTCGGAGGGACCGGTGGCGCCAGTGCTCGGCAGTCTCGCCTCCGTCAGTGCGCCCCAGGGCAGCTGTGGCTACATCGTAGCTCATCCCCACCAGTGTGTGAATGGGTGAATGACTGATTGTGTTGTAAAGCGCCTTGGGGGGTTCCAGGACTCTACAAGGCACTATATCAAATACAGGCCATTTACTTTGTTCTCGGAGACTAATTTAATTTAATTCACACAACTGTCTTGCCCTAGAACACACCTGGGACCGACTGAGCTGGACTTGATCCTGCAATTCTCCAGTTATGAGATGGCCACTTAAGTTCTCTACTGACCCAACATATAAAACAACAGTCAGAAGTCATTCAGGGGTTTATTCTTCACAGTAACACTCTAAATATTCTGTTAACTATGTTTCTTTTCAGGAGGTTTTTGCATCTCCAAGTAAGCATGCCATGGACAGCAAAGGGGAGGAGTCCAAGATGAGCTATCCCAACATCTTCTTCATGATCGAAAACTTTGAGGAGGTACCATCACTTGTTCAAAGGGTTGCCTTAAACATCTGAACATGTGTTCTACCAACAAGAACTCCTTGGTGTGTGGTAGAAATGACCCAAACCAGTACTGAACATTTCTAGGCACAGCCTGGGGTTGGAAGGTGTTGAGCTGACTAGCATGAGGATCTCGTCTCTGATTTCTGAGGATGATGTGGCCCTCTTGGCTCCATCAAGTTGTGATTCTCAATGTTTATTGAGGAGATTCCCAGCTGAATGTAAAGTGGCTGGGATTAAAATCAGCACCTCCAAATCCATGGCTGTGCTTCTTGACTGAAAAATAGTTTATTGTCAGCTCCAGGTTGTGGCAGAGGTCCTACCTCAAGTGCAGGAGTTGAGAGCAACTTCATTGAGAAACCAGTGTCATTCGTTGAACATGTTGAAACATGCTCAGTCAGCCTTAACGTGAAAATAGTTTACTATACTTCTGTCGGCGCGCATGGATGCAGCGGCTCATGGCTCCCAGCAACTAGACACAATTGTTTGTCTTTTGGGTTGTCTTGTTTTACCAGCCCACTTCCGCCATGGACTTATTAAATACTCACCCCAGGAGATTTTGGCCATCGAATTTCAGCTAAATACTAAAGTAACAGTAGAATTCACCCGGACATGCAATATTCCACCAGAGATAGCCAGACCAGCTGGAGCTCCATGGACTGTTTTCGGCTCTACAAGACATTGTAGACAGTGCAGAGACAGGAAACAGAAGCGAGGCTGCTGAGCAGGCCTACCAGCACAGATAAGGAGGAAATCACACCGCCCGCCGCTACCATCCATTCTGCTGGTAAATGCCCAGTCTCTTGCCAACAAATTGGATGATCTGCAATCACAGCTTGCTTACAACCACACCATTTGTGATTGTTGTTTGCTGATTATCACAGAATCCTGGCTCCACCCACACATTCCAGACGCCAGCATTGAGCAAACCGGCTATGTGCTCCATCGCCTTGATTGGGATAAAACCTCTGGAAAGACTAGAGGAGGAGGACTCTGTGTTTATGTGCATGAAGACTGGTGCTGGAACAGCAGAGTAATGAATACCTTTTGCTCATCAGACTTAGAGGCTCTGTCTGTCCAGTGCAGACCATTCTATCTGCCACGGGAGCTAACGCTAGTCATTGCTACTGCTGTTTATATCCCACCTAATGCTAACGTTAACACTGCACTTGGCCAGCTTCATCACGTTTTAACCAAACAGCAGCAGGCTCACCCAGAGGGAGTACACATAATAGCTGGGGACTTTAATAAAGCATGCTTAAAGATTGTTTTCTCCAAACTCCTCCAACATGTCAAGTTTGCAACCCGGGGTAAAAATACACTGGACTGTGTATATACCAACATCTCATCCCAGCTTACACTCCCCTCAGGAAGCAAACAAAACCCACAACACACACCGTCACCACCTTACCTGCTGAAGCCCTCCCACAGCTACAGGACTGCTTTGCCTGCACAGACTGGAGAGTGTTTGAACAGCAGGACCTGGAGGCACACACAGACGGTGCTATCCTACATCAGAACCTGTGTAGAAAATGTCACAGTGACCAAACAGACTCGGATCTTCCCAAATAGGAAGCCCTGGATGACATCAGAGGTCCAGGCTCTAATCAGAGCCCGCAATGTTGCCTTCAAGTCAGGTAACAGCGACTTGTACCGCATAGCCAGAACTATGGGGCGACGGTGGCACAGGAGTTAAGTGCTCACCTCGCAATCGGAAGGTTGCAGGTTCGAGCCCCGCTCAGTATGTCGCTGTCGTTGTGTCCTTGGGCAAGACACTTAACCCACGTTGCCTGCTGGTGGTGGTCGGAGGGACCGGTGGCGCCTGTGCTCGGCAGCCTCGCCTCCGTCAGTGCTCCCCAGGGCAAAAATTGTGTGAATGTGTGTGTGAATGGGTGAATGACTGATTATGTTGTAAAGCGCCTTTGGGGGTTCCAGGACTCTAGAAGCCACTATATCAAATACAGGCCATTTACCAACTAGTCTAAGGAAGGGCATTCACGAGGCAAAGAGAGTCTACAGGAGGAAAATAGAAGACCTCTTTCGCAACAACAGTCCCCGGAAGATGTGGAAGGGGATCCAGACTCTGACCAACTACAGAGGCCACACTCCGTCCAACACTGGCAGCAGCAGGACACAGGCAGAGGAGCTAAACAACTTCTTTGCTCGTTTTGAAACCACTGCCCACCCACTTTTACAACCCCCCCCCCCCCCCCCCCCCACACACACACACACACACACATAATGTGAGCACCCCCACACCTCCCTCTCTCATCCTTCAGGAACATGAGGTGAGAAGAACCTTGAGAGCGGTAAACCCCAGGAAAGCTGCCGGACCAGACGGCTTACCGGGGATCGTGGTTAGGGAGTGTGCCAGTGAACTGGCAGGTATCCTCACCAAGTTGTTTAACCTCTCCCTGTCTCATGCTTCAGTCCCAAGCTGCCTCAAGTCTGCAACAATTATTACCATCACCAAAAAATCTTCCATAGACAGCTTAAATTATTATCGACCGGTTGCCCTCACACCTGTAATCACAAAGTGCCTGGAGCAACTTATCTCCAACCACGTCCAAGCCTGTCTCCCCACCTCCTTCGACCCCCTTCAGTTTTCCTACCGGGGAAACAGATCAACAGAGGATGCCATCGCCCTGACGCTGCACACAACACTGAGCCACCTAGAGACCAGAGGAAGCTACGTCAGGATGCTCTTTGTTGACTTCAGTTCAGCGTTCAACACCATCATCCCAGACATTCTTACCTCAGAACTGCTGAGCCTTCAGATCCCTCCCTCCACCTGCCACTGGGTAAAAGACTTTCTCACAAATCGTCCGCAGCATGTTAAACATGGCTACCATCTCTCCTCCTCCATCCTGCTCAGTCCTGGCTCTCCTCAGGGCTGTGTGCTGAGCCCCCTACTGTACACTCTGTACACATCGGACTGTACCGCCCCCCACCCATCCACTGCCATCTTCAAGTTTGCTGATGACACCACTGTGGTTGGCCTCATCACAGACGGAGATGAGGCAGCATACCGGGCAGAGGTCAGTAATCTGTCATGGTGGTGCTCAGATAACAACCTCACTCTGAACATACAAAAACAAAAGAGCTCATTCTGGATTTCAGGAGACACCGTCACACACACGCCCCTCTCCTCATAAATGGAGAGCATGTGGACCGTGTCCCCTCCATCAGGTTCCTCGGCACCATCATCTCTGCTGACCTGTCCTGGTGTGCCAACACCAGAGCTCTGGTTAAAAAGGCTCAGCAGCGGCTGCACTTTCTCCGGGTCTTGAGAAGGTGTGGCCTGGGTCAGAAACTGCTGCTGGCTTTCTACTACTGCTCCGTGGAGAGCACCTTCACCTACTCTGAGTGTGTGGTATGCAAGCTCCACTGCTGAGGACAGAAAGGCTGTTCAGAGGACAATAAACACCGCCCAGAGGATTATTGGCTGCACCCTGCCATCCTTGGAGGCCATCTCCAGAACCCGCTGCCTGAAGAGCACCGCTGCTATCCTCCGTGACCCCACCCACCCTGCCCACTGCCTGTTTGACCTGTTGCCCTCAGGGCGCCGCTTCAGGTCAGTTAAATCACATACCAGCAGACTTTCCCTTGGGCCATCAGAACATTCAACACAACAGCACCATTCAACCCCCCACATCCCCATCAGTAATGTGGACTCATCTGTTTTCAATTGTTGTTTTAGCAGATCTGAATCACTGGTTGCACTTTCTTGGTGTTTGCTAAATGTTTTTAATTGTTTTTAGTCCTCTATGGTTTTTGATGTTTATTGTCATTTATTGTCTTGTGCACTGTTGATTGTGGACCATCTGTAATTTAATTGCCATGAGCAATTACAATAAAGTCTATTCTATTCTCTTACATTACCAATGATTGAAAATAGATGGGGAAATGCTTGGATTAGAAAAGCCAGTCAGATCTACGTCACACTCACAATTACCATTCATGGATTCACCCATCTTGACTCATGACGGGGAGGCTGTTAGTCTAGCATCCAGGAGAGCACAGTTACTAGAATATAACTGTTAGCATTAGTACCTCCACCACACAGCAAAACTCCTCCAGACTTGTGTTATTTGTGGGGATAAAACATCAATGTTGCAGAGAAAACAGAGTGAGTGGTAGAGTCACGTTGCTGTTGGCCAGGTGACCGGTTTGAAAGCATTGGTCTCTTGCTAAAATGCGGTTGACTTTTCGTAGCCTCACAGAAATGTAGATTTTTTTTGTACAATTTTGATGCTTTTTTTTTACAGTGCATTGTGTTTTATGTCCAAAGTTACATGGTTTGAACTTTGAGAGTGTTAACGAGAGATAAAAGTGTAAAAGTGTTTGAAAAAAGTGTATAAAGTTTTGTATTGAGGGGATTTACAGTCTGTAAATGTGGCGTTGCGCTGGGATGAGCCCATTTGCGGAGGAGAGGAGCACTCTGACTGTGCCACTGCTGGAGTGCATTAGTAATCGGCACTCATGCATCTTTTTATATAAGAGGAGGAGTAGAGCCCTGCACGGGCCTAAAATCTGAGCCCGTGTCCGGCCTGGCCCGAGGGGGTGGAGCCCCAGCCCGACCCGGCCCAAAAAGGTTTTCAGGATTCTCTGGCCCGACCCGAGCCCGACTTTTTGTTTAACCAACTAAATGAAAACAAAGTGTGTCAATCCTGACCAATGTGTTAAAAGACGTGCAGGATCCGATCAATTTGTTTTTCCCTCGTTTACAGTGACAGAGATAACGGTGCAGTGCGCCTGGCTCTGGTGGTAATCAAGTTAAATTTTATCTCTTTCCAACAATTTTCACAAGAAAACAGAACAGTTAAAAGCAGGGCTTGTGTTGACCGGACAGTTCCCGTATTTGACGGTTTATTTTGACGGAGAAAGAATAGAAAGAATTACCCCAACGCATGCAGACGAACTGACATTTTATTCTACGCACATCGCAGATGTAGCTAAATCACTCAAGAAAAGAT